CATAAAAATGCACCAGTGATGACGTCTAGCAGCAATTACGATGATCACGGTGCACCAAACCAAATCAGCACTACACATTTCTCAGCAAAGGCTTGCAAAATGTTTGTCGGACCCTTCTGTAGCGGCTGGCCTGCAAAAGAGGTAACAACCTACTACTCTGCTACCTGGTAGATTTACTCCTTTCATTGAAGTCTTCAAGGGCTGTGCTCTCAGATGGATAATCCAGAGTTCACTGATGATGATGTGGCTATATTGTAGCTAATCTCATGCACCAGACTTAGACTAGAGAAAAAAGGGGTGGCCAAGAATTTCCCATTTAAATGGTTTGCTAATGGGAAATTGGAGTTTCATCCAAATGACATTTTCTCCAACAATTCAGATAGTTACTAAAAAAGTTTAATGCCCCCCAAAATGAAGCGTTTTTATTTTTCCAGCCAAAACCCCAAATATTTCTATTCACAGTGGCACCATCGTGCCTCTTAAGAGTGGTCATTTGTGAGCCTCCATGAGCAGGGGTCTGGAGCCAGAAGGCATCTGTACACCACCTCTGTACAAGGAGAAAAACTGATGCCTCCAGAGATGTGTAGACCAGCCAGAGAATGTAGTCCCAGGTGAAACAGGGATGCATAAAGCGTTGAGCCTACCATGATGTTTCTGAGGCCACACTTCCCAGTTTTGAATTTCTTGCTTTTTGGATACTCCAAAAAAATCATTGTTTGCCCAACTTTTCCATGGAGGTGGGAACGACACCCATCACAGGTCCTGCCCCGTAGAAAGCCTCCAGACCCGGTCTCCATACCAACAGGTTGTGTCCTGTCCTTGTTGCAATCAAAGCTGCAATCAAACCAGTCCACGAAGGTGAAGAACCTTTAACCCACCAGAACTATTCAAGCCAACTTCTTTACTTGGGAGAAGACAAACTTAAGAGCTAAGCCTCGGCATGGTCAAGAAACCTGTTGGACTGTCTAGTGGGTGTGAGGGGGGACGGTTTATGGCCCTCCTGGGTCACTTCAGGTGAGATTTTTAAAGGTATTTTGGTGTCTGAAGATGCTGCCAGGCACCTAGACACATTGTAGAAGCACTTACCTATTGAACTGGGCACCACATTTCAAGAAAGATGTAGAGAAATTGGAGAAGGTCCAGAGAAGAGCAACAAAAATGATGAAAGGTCTTGAGAACATGAGCTATGAAGGAAGGTTGAAAGAATTGGGCTTGTTTAGTTTGGAAAAGAGAAGACTGAGAGGTGACATGATGGTGTACCTAAAAGGGTGTAACAAGGAGAAGGGAGAAAAATTGTTCTCGGCTTCTGAGTACAGGACAAGAAGCAATGGGCTTAAACTGCAGCAAGGGAGGTGTAGGTTGGACATTAGGAAAAAATTCCTATTTGTCCAGGTGGTGAAACACTGGAATAAATTGCCTAGGGGGGTTGTGGAATCTCCATCTCTGGAGATATTTAAGAGCAGGTTGGACAGACGCCTGTCAGGGATGTTCTAGATGGTGCTTGGTCCTGTTGTGAGGGCAGGGGACTGGACTTGATGACCTCTCGAGGTCCCTTCCAGTGTTCTATGATTTCCTGGTCACATCAAAATGATTTTAACATGCATTAGGCAACTATGTGCATTCGTAGGTCTCTTAATCCCTGGTTGTGTGACACAAGAACCCTGATAGAGGGGGGACCCAAACTTTGGAGTCCAAAGTCCAAAGCTAGAGACCTAACCACAGACTCCTGCTTAGTTCCACGTGGGTAGCTGCTTACCAATCATTCCAAAATGTAGCAGGCAGAGAGCAAATTCCCCAGTGGCATCTGTTTCTGCTACAGCACTAAGCATTCTTGGTTTCTTAGTTCTCAAAATGACCACGTACGTATCACATATGATCTATGTGTGGAAAGCCTCGTTAATTGTCTGCTTCAAGAACAAGTCCGATGGGAACAGGAAAGGCTTTTTAAAAAGCACCCTAAGGGCGAGTTAGCAAAACACACCGGGTTGCTCATGCTGAATCCAAGGAAGGTGCTGCTGTATTTCACGGTGTCTTACAGCACAATAAACAACGCTGAGCTGCAGTCAGAAATCTAACCGCAAATGGCTGCAGGGGGGAAAAACTTATTTTTTTCCTCTTCAGTAAGAAATTGGTGAGACCAAGGAAGTGTGTTTGGTCGCTGTTTTGCTGCTTTATGACTTCTGGATGTTTCAAAACTCAGCGTTTGGGGGGGGTATTTTTTCTCACATTTCTGCAGAGCCAATTAAAAGAAAATGAAATCAGACCGGTGCATTAGCTGTAAATCCCCGCAGAGGTGGATGCATCTGAAAAGTAAGTCATTCTAGTGTCATCTGACCACGTCATGCTGTCCTGATGGATTGGTAGTGACAAGACGTATTTGTCCTTCTTGCGGGGGGAGGCAAGTAAGTTAGGAAAGGCAGGGACTTCGTTTGAAATGACGGCTTGTGGGGAAAGAGAGACACGGGTTCGGCAGTAGAGTCAGAGAATCAGATGAGGGGATGCATGAGAGGCGCTTCTGATGTCCCTGATGCTCATTTTACACCAGACCTGGATGCTGACCATCCCGGGGAAACACTGGAACAACACTGGAGTTAGGCGCAAGTGGTCCTGTGGCACCTTCGAGACTCTATAGTATCAGGAGTTGCCGTGGGCACAACCCACTTCCTCAGCTGGGGGTAGAGAGAGTAGAATGAGTCCTGCTGACCTCAGTGGAGTTCCTCCCGATTTGCATCGAGGTGGGTGAGAGGAGAGAACCATTGATCTCAATACATACCCTATCCTGGATAGTCTCTGTTCCACTGCCCTTCACATCGGTTCCCCATTCACACTGGGCTCAGCAAGGGGGACAATTTGGAGCCTTTTTCTCCTCTTTCAAAGGAGGGGTCAGGAAGGGATCTTTGGACCTGTAGCAGGTAAAGGATGTTATAGGTAGGAGAAGATTTGGATTGGTTTGGGCTAAACGCTTGTGAGGCCTCAGATTTCTGCCACCATGAACAGCAAAATTATCATGGGGTTGGTTATTGTAAAAGTGTAGGAGATGTCGGTTAGCTAATAGATTTCAGCCTAACTTGCCACCAAATGTTCACATCTATCTATCTATCTATCTATCTATCTATCTATCTATCTATCTATCTATCTATCTATCTATCTATCTATCTATCTATCTATCTATCTATCTATCTATCTATCTATCTATCTATCTATCTATCTATCTATCTATCTATCTATCTATCTATCTATCTATCTATCTATCTATCTATCTATCTATCTATCTATCTATCTATCTATCTATCTATCTATCTATCTATCTATCTATCTATCTATCTATCTATCTATCTATCTATCTATCTATCTATCTATCTATCTATCTATCTATCTATCTATCTATCTATCTATCTATCTATCTATCTATCTATCTATCTATCTATCTATCTATCTATCTATCTATCTATCTATCTATCTATCTATCTATCTATCTATCTATCTATCTATCTATCTATCTATCTATCTATCTATCTATCTATCTATCTATCTATCTATCTATCTATCTATCTATCTATCTATCTATCTATCTATCTATCTATCTATCTATCTATCTATCTATCTATCTATCTATCTATCTATCTATCTATCCCCATACACCCGTTCCTGAGGTGTTTTCCCTCTATTTCCTTTTCAAATCCCTTTCTCTTTACTTCCTTTTACTTCTCTTTTTTCTAGCCATTTTTATGTAATATATTTATTTATATGTACATTTTTAATAGACAAGTATCAGAGGGGTCGTCATGTTAGTCTGAATCTGCTTAAACAACATGGAGTCCTGTGGCACCCTCTAGACTAATAGATGTATTGGGGCATAAGCTTTCATGGGCAACGACCCACGTCGTCAGATGCATGTCGTGGAAATTCCAGAGGCAGGTATAAATATACAGGCACAGGAGAAGGGAGTACCAATCAAGAGGAAGGCCAGAGATAATGAGGTCAATTCAGTCAGGGAGGATGTGGCCCACTTCTAGCAGCTGATGTGGAGGTGTGAACACCAGTTTGTCTAGACTATAGGGTTTTGTCTACCAAAGTGGACTTTTGTTGACAAAACTCTACCTGCATCTACACTGCCACTGAGTTCTGTCAACATAACGTCAACAGAACTCAGCTGTTCTGTTAACGGCGGTAAACCTCATTCTATGAGGAATAACGCCTTTTGTCGACAGAGTTCTGTCGACAGAAGGAGTTATTGCATCTACACTGTCCTTTGCATCTACACTGTCATGTCAACAAGAACTGGCTGTAGTCTAGACGCTCTTTGTCGACAGAAGCTTTGTCGACAGTATTTGTCGACAAAACTTCTGTTGACAAAAGCCTGTAGTCTAGATGTACTCCAAGAGAGGAGAAACTGCTTTTGCAATTGACTAGCCATTCCCAGTCTTTGTTTAATCCTAAACTGATAATGTCACATTTGCAAATGAATTGTAGCTCTGCGGTTTCGCTTTGAAGCCTGTTTTCGAAGGGGTTTTTTGTTGCAGGATGGCTACTTTTAAATCTGTTACTGTGTGTCCAGGGAGATTGAACATGTGCCTGTATATTTATATTTGCCTCTGGAATTTCCACGACATGCATCTGACGAAGTGGGTCTTTTCCCACGAAAGCTTATGCTCCAATAAATCTGTTAGACTATAAGATGCCATGGGATTTCTCGTTGTTTATTTTTAATAGAGTTTTGGTGGCTTGGTGAAGCCGTCTCCTTCATTCCCATCCCCTTTTCTACTTCCAGGTCCAGCCAGTTCCCAGCACGATGAATTAGGCGCGTGGGTGTTTGCTTGTGATCCAGAAGCATGACACTCAGGGGGAGCCGGAGTGGTTTTTCTGCCGAGAGTTGCAGCGGGTCCTTCTACAGTTGTGTCTGCCGACAGCAAGTGTGTAGGGTAGGGTGACCAGTGCTCATTGCAGAAACCACATTCTTCCCCCGTCGTCTCTGCTTTCCTCCGTACTCCAAGGGAGCCATGGAAAATTGCAGCGCAGTGACTGTGTTCACCTTGGAGGGCTTCGGAGGTGAAGTGCAAGTCTTCCTCTCTCTCCTCTTCTTCATTCTCTACAGCGTCACCCTAGCAGGCAATGTCGGCATGATCACCATCATCAGCCTTGACTCCCGGCTCCACACCCCCATGTACTTCTTCCTGAAAAACCTCTCCTTCCTGGACCTCTGCTACTCCTCCGTCATCACCCCCAAAGCCCTGCTGAGCTTCTCAACAGGGCGCCGGGCCATCTCCTACAATGGCTGCGCCACCCAAATGTTCTTCTTTTCTCTCTTCGGTACCACCGAGGCCTTCTTCCTGGCCGCCATGGCCTACGACCGTTTCGTCGCCATCTGCGACCCCTTGCGCTACCCAATGAAGATGTCCAAGCGGGTGTGTCAGGTCTTGGTGGTAGGCTCCTACCTCTCTGGCTGCCTCAACGGCAGCATCCAGACAGGCTTCACGTTCCGCTTGTCCTTCTGCGGCTCGGGGAAGATCGACCACTTCTTCTGCGATGTCCCCGCTGTGATGAACGCTGCCTGCTCCGACACCGCCGCCAACGAAATGGCGATGCTGGTCGTGTGCGGGCTCATCATCGTGAGCACGGGCTTGGTCGTCCTGATCTCCTATGGCTACATCCTCACCACGGTCTTACGGATGCCCTCTGCCGAGTGCCGGCGCCGCGCCTTCTCCACCTGCGCCTCCCACCTGGTGGCTGTGAGCTTGTTCTTCGGGACGGTCTTCTTCATGTACGCTCAACCCGGGGCCGTCGCCTTCCCAGGTCAAAGCAAAGTGGTCTCCGTGTTCTACACCGTCGTCATCCCCATGCTGAACCCTTTGATCTACAGCTTGAGGAACAAGGAGGTGAAAGAGGCTCTGAGGAGACAACTGAAAAAGAAAGGGTTTTCCCGCTGAGCAAGGCTGCTGAGCAATCGGTCAGCGATCGGGATGGATGGGAATGGGTATCAAGGACAGGGGAATTCCCACAGGCATCTGCCATTGAACAACGGTCTCAGCTGGGGAATATTATGAGGAAAGGCAGGGACTTTCAGTGGAACCGAAGGGAATTAGGCACCCAACTGAACTTCCCACACCCTTTGACTCCTTTGAGAATCCCACACACCATGCAAGGGTGAGGAATCGGAGGCTCGCCTCTAAATCCCTTGGGAGAAGATCTCTCTCCAACATGGGAGGAATGGTTTTGTGGTGAAGATATTGGCCTGGGATTTGGGACATCTGGGGTCGATTTCTCGCTCTGTCTGGTGCCTTGGCTGAGCGGTTGATGGGTTTTGGTGCTCAATGCTCATGGACTTGAATACGATTGTGGTGTTCAAACCACTTAGGCAGCTTTGAAAATCGCCCCCTTTTTTCGTCAGTTTCCCAAGTGTAAAATATAGTTAGTCACACTTTTTCTGGCCCTATTTATTTACATGGTTCCTTTTATGGGAGAACAAGCTTTTCACAGCCACGTGTCTTTGCAGCATCTGGGACTAGGGAGGAAGGCAGAATCTGTTGCCATTGCTAATATGGGAACTTTGAACTCTGGAGATGCAGGGACAGGGAAGGCTGACAGATAATCCAGAGGGAAGGAAATCCACCTCATGATTTCACTTTGCATGGTTGTTTTCCCGTTCCCGCTGAACTTTGTTGGACTCGTCTTACTCCTTCCAATTGATGCTTCACTGTATCCTAAGCCAGCCAAGACTAATTCACACTCAACAGCCAGTCTGGGCTGTCACAGAATCCCTCAGTGAGCGTCACCCCCCAAAATTCCATGTAGGCATCAGTGCAGCACCAGGGAAACTGAGGCATGCACACACAGCATCACCACAGGATGGCAGAAATCCCATGCAACACAACAGAGCAAGGAGAGTGAACGCAATCCCCCATTTTTAAGAGCAGGTTGGCTAGACATCTATCCGGGATAATGTAGAAGATGCTCGGTCCTACCATGCGGGTGGGGGACTGGACTCAATGATCTCTGAACGTCCCTGGTCCTACCATGCGGGTGGGGGACTGGCCTCAATGAGCTCTGAACGTCCCCTCCAGTTCTAGTTTTCTATGAGTCTGTGATTCATCTCAGAAATAAACGATGGGACTTCGGGTACTTAGCCACCTAGGGACATATTTGTATTTAGGCGGTGAAAGAGGCCGATGGGAAGTATTTGGAAAGCTCCGAAAAAGAACTGACTCAGGTCAAATGGGATGAAATAGATTATGATGTGTAAGGGGAAAGACACACTCTTCATGATGTCCCTCATCATAAAAGGCCCAATTCCACACCATGGCCAGTCCACTTGTGTGCTAAGGTTCGAGGGTTGGGATTGTTTGACTCTTTGTCTGTTCCTTAGGTGGGGTAGGATGTTGCGGGAATTCATTGCAATAGTGTTGACCATGGGCTTTCTGTTCTTTGTTTGGACATGCTTTTCCTTGTGCAGGGGAGATGTGTGCGGGGCTTGTGAACAGATGAGAGAGAAGATGCCAGCAACAGATGGATCTCACTGGGAAAAAGAGTGAAAAAATGAAGGTGCCAGTTTCACCTTGTCCTGGTTAAAAAGATGGAGACATTTCAGCTCAGGAAAGAGGAGCCTAAGGGGGGATATGATAGAGGTCTATAAAATCGTGGCAGGTGTGGTGAAAGTGAATAAGGAAAAGTTATTTACTCATTCCCATCACATAAGAATGAGGGGTCAGCAAAGGAAATGAATAGGGAGCAGGTTTAAAACAAACCAATGGACGTTTTTCATCATGCAGCACAAAGTCAACCTGTGGAACTCCTTGCCGGGGGATGTTGTGAAGACCAGGACTTTAGCATAGTTCAAAAAAGAACTAGATAAATTCATGGTGGTTAGGCCCATCAATGGCTATTAGCCCGAAGCCGAACACGAGAATCAACTCCTCTAAAAGGGAGGAGCGTGCTGGGAGACTTTGGGGTTGTTCTGGAAAAACAACAGAGAATCAACATGAGAATGCCTTCAGGGCCAGCCCCCACTCGTGTTGTGCCTAGCTGGCCGCTGGACTGACTCGAGCAATGATAAGGATTGGTCACTATAAAAGCAGCTGGAGAATCTTTTGGGAGCTGTGTGTGTGTGTCTGTGTCTGTTTGTCTGACTTCTTGTGTGTCTGTTTTTGTGTGTCTTTGTGTGTCTCTGTCTTTGTATGTTTGTGTGTGTGTCTGTCTTTGTATATGTGTGTCTCTGGGTGTGTGTCTGCATATTAGGCTGCATTAAGAGGAGCATAAATTCCCACAGATCCAGGGAAGTGATTATTCCCCTTTATTCAGCACTGGGAAGGCCGCATCTGGAGCGTTGCGTCCAGTTCTGGGCCCTCCCACAGGGCGGCGTCCACCCCCCTCCCGGTGCCTCCTGCTGGACCCTGTGGGAATTAGCTCCCAGCCCTGAAGCGCCCCCTTCTGGCTGGTGTCACTCCTGCTGGTACCGTCCTAGCTCAATGCACCTGCACTTTGGGGTCCTCCCGTCCTGGACACTCCTCCGATCCACCTACCCCCACCCTGCTGCAATGACCCACAGCCAGGGCCATCTAGCCCCTGCCTCGGGGCCAACTGCAGCCTGGCACAGCCACTCCTTATTGGCAGGGGTGGGGACCTGCTGCCTTTGCCTGCCCTGGAAGCCTCTCTGCAGCCTTCGTGCTCTCAGGCCTTGCCTCAGACCTGCCCAGGAGTGAAGCCAGAGCCCCCTAGCTCTGCCGGCCTCTCCCCAGCCCTGCCCAGTTTCAGGAAGCCTCCAGCATCCCTGGCAACCAGGCTCTGCCTGCCTCCTCCCCGCCCCCCCAGCTAGAGGCAGAGTGTATCTGTCTACGCCCCTCTGGGAGCCCTTGTTCATACAGCCCCAGCTGGGCCCGAATCAGCTGTCCCTGCCCTCAGCTGTAGGTGCCAGAACCCCAGGCCTCACCCAGGGCTGGGTTTTACCCCTAACGAGTCAGTGTGGGGCAGACACCCACCCCAGACCCCCCACTACAGGAAGGATGCGGATGCATTAGAGACGGTCCAGCGGAGGGCGACCAAAATGATTGAGGAGCTGGAGAACATGACCTACGAGGAGAGGCGGAGGGACTGGGGCTTGGTTAGTCTGCAGGGGTCTGGCTAGACTAAAAGTTTTTGTCAGAAAAAGATACGCAAAACGCGCCCCACAATTTGCATACCTTTTCCCTATTCTTATGTCGGAAGAGGCTTCTCTAATATTTGGCCCATCTAGATTGGGCCAAATGTTAGGCAAAAACCCGTCTTTTGATAGGAACACAGGGGCTTCCGAAAGAGCACGTTTGCTCTTCCGCAAAAAAAAAAAGCATTCCCTGGATTGTGGCGGAGTTTTTTCGGGCTTCTGTATCCTGAAAAACCCCACAGTCTAGCCACACCCCAGAAGAGAAGAGTGAGGGGAGATTTGAGAGCAGCCTCCAACTCCCTGCAGGGGGGTTCCAAAGAGAATGGAGAGAGGCTGTTCTCGGGGGGGCAGACGGCAGAACGAGGAGCAATGGGCTCAAGTTGCAGTGCGGGAGGCCTAGGTTGGATATTAGGGAAAACTCTTTCACTAGGAGGGTGGTGAAGTATTGGAATGGGTTACCTAGGGAGGTGGTGGAATCTCCATCCCTAGAGGTTTTTAAGTCTCGGCTTGACAAAGCCTGGCTAGGTAGATTTAGTTGCGATTGGTCCTGCTTTGGGCAGGGGGCTAGACTCGATGACCTCCTGAAGTCTCTTCCAGCCCTATGTTACAAAGTCCCCCAATCTCCTGTGTCATCCCACCCAGCTGGAGAAAAACGACAATGCAAACCAGTGAAAGCTTTGCCAGAAAATGTTTATTTCACCTTCTTGGGTTGAGTTCCAATTCCAGAAGTCGACGCAAGCCCTCACCAGGCAGGTGTGACCTGCGTGCTCCAAGGCAAGCTTCATCCCTCCCACGATTTCCTCCCCATCGTCCTGCCCCAGGCGTCTTTCACTTCCTTGTTCCGCAGGCTGTAGATGAGTGGATTCACCATGGGGATGATGAAGGTGTAGAAGACGGACACGGCTTTGCGAGGGTAGAGCGAAGACACCCAAGTGGGCTGGGCGTACATGAAGGCCGTGGAGCCGTAGAAGATGCTCACCGCGATCATGTGGGAGGTGCAGGTGGAGAAGGCCTTGTGCCGCCCGGCCCCTGAGGGCAGCCTCAGCACGGCCCTGATAACGAGCCCGTAGGAGGCCAGGATGGAGAGGAAAGTGGTGACGATCATGAGGGAGCTCATGGTGGAGTAGAATTGTTCAGTCCGGGGAGCCGGGGAGCAGGTGGCCGCCCACAATGGGGCCGGGTCACAGACAAAATGGTCCAGGGTGTAGGGGCTGCAGAAGGAGAGCCGGGACATGAGGCTGATGGGCACTATGTACCACAGGAAGCCAGTGAGCCAGCAGGAGGCGACCATGGTCCAGCAGAGTGGAGGGGACATGAGGACAGGGTAGCGCAGGGGCTGACAGATGGCCAGGTACCGGTCCAGACCCATGGCCGCGAGGAGGAGGCATTCAGTGGCCCCCGTGGAGAAGAAGAAGTAGAACTGCAGGAAGCAGGCATGGAAGGAGATGGGGAGGCCGGGGTGCAGCAGGTCGCAGAGCATCCGGGGCGCAGTGGCGTGGTGAAGCAGAGGTCCAAGACCGACAGGTTCATGAGGAAGAAATACATGGGGGTGTGAAGACGAGGGTTGGAGCAGATGAGGAGGATCATGCCGGCGTTCCCAAGGACTGTGATCATGTAAATCAGCAGAAACGCCACCAAAGGGACCAGCTGGGCTTCCGGGCCATTCCCGAAACCCAAAAGGATGAATCCCCCCCGAGCTGTGCAATTATCCGCTCTCACCGTCTCCATGGCTGGCGTTTCCTTGAGAGGAAGGGAGCAAGACCAAGGTTAAAAAAGAACCCAACGGGTAATGTGCATTTCAGGTCTCACCAAAAATAGGGAGCAGAGCTCTTGCCAGAAAGACACTGGGCTAGAAGTTTGCAAATTTGATCCTTTTCTATATGCTCCCCTAAAGCAAATCTCTTTGCCTGGGATTTTCTAAGATGTCCAAGAAACCCCCAGTGATCCTCAAAAGGTTTCAGTCACTGTAACTTTCAGGGTCTTGGGAGAACTTACAGCTGTTTTATTTCCGCCTCTCGGCGTCCCTGTCGGAAAATTAAGCTTTCGGGAATTCCCTATCTCAGAACGTGCTAAGAAGATCAAGCCATGGAGGGTTTGGAAGGTCTCAGATGGTAGCCCAAGTGAGGCACCGAAAAGTAGCTTAGGAGGAATTTTGGAAAAGTCAGCTGGCTCCTTTATTCTTGGGTGGAAATTGGAGCCTTAAGAGATGAAATTGAAAGCAGAAAAGTTTATTGCTTCACTGTAAGCAGATCAAAGCTGGTGCGATCCAAACTTAACCCCTTTATAATAAAACAGGAGCCAATTTGTGCATTTTGGAAAGTGCTTTTTCAAGATCCTCTACAACTGAAGTGAAATTCAAAGCATGAGTGAAACAACCTCTCCTTCCATGAGAAACCCACTGATTTAGTACTCCAGTTCTAATACTCCAGTCATCTGGAGAAGTGGGTTGTGTCCATGAATGCTCATGATACCATCTACATGTTTTGTTAGTCTTTAAGGTGCTACTAGATTATTGGTTGTTTTTTAAGTTTTTCCATTGATTTCTAGAAAGAGTAGGAAAAGTAGGGGATTTCCGGATATTAGAGACATCTTTATTTTTGCAGTGAAAGGCGTAGCAAGAACGCCTGTTTGGAAGAGAAAGTCCAGTGAAAGATTGGGGGCTTTAAATATGAATTAAAACAGTATATGGACAAAGATAATGACTAATCCCTTTATTATTTCTTTTCCTGGAAGATTTCAGGGGTGGAATTTCAGAACTTTTACTTTCTTAGGGTGCATCTACACTGCACTGTAACTCAAAATAAGATACGCAGTTTGAGTTATGCAAATTGTGTCTCTTATTTTGATGCTATTTCAAAACAGCTTATTTCGTCATTTGGCACTTGTCTGTACAGTGCCAAATTTGGAAATAAAGCGCTTTTCCGAAACACCCCTTACTTCCAGAAGGAGGGTTACAGGGATGTCAGAATAGTAAGCCTGAAAAACAGGCATGCTGTGAAGACGTGGGATAGAAATAGCGTTGCGGTGCAGACATTCCCATACAGAATATTGTCGTAATGCTAGTCACATTAAAGGGACATTTGCCTGCACAAGACTAGAACAGGGTCTTAATAAAAGTTTTATGAGGAGCTACTTTCTGGGAGCTAAAAGCTCTTTCGAGAATTGTTGGATACCCGAGTTTAGTACCAGATTCTCACACCTTTGCTCCATAATACAGCACCGTATGTATTTGTGCATTTCTGTTGTTCCACTTACCAGGTAATTGTGCATCACACACAATTATCGAAGCTGTAACTTTCCCTGGAGCCTAAATCCCATGGAGCCCAAGCTAACTATTCTTAGAGCCGGCTGACCCCTAAAGGGTCTTTCTGTCTCATAAAACCTCCTAAATTCTCCTTGAATGATAATTGTTCCTCCGTTTTAGCCCCCACCCCAACCATCTCAAAGACCTTAGACCTAGTCATGAACATGCTGTTGTCAACCCAGCAAATAGGAGGTTGCAGTAAATGACTCGCTCTGATCAAGGACGTTCATTGCTGCTGTATACGGCGCTGGAGAAACCACGGATGTGTCCCGGCTTCAAGCAGGATACTTAGAATATAGACAATGGGGCAGTGGTGAGAGAGACTGATTGAAGGTCTCATGGTCAACTAATAAAGGAGGCCGATGTGTTTAGTTGAGTCAAGAGGTGGATGGAAATGATTTAATCATGTCTGTACATGCTGTAGGGCAGAGGAAGACTTTTTGGTGACCACATCAACACTGAGAGATCATGGCTACCCAGTGGTCCTCCATTCCTGCCAAAAAGTTGCAGCCATATCAGAGAAGAGTCCCAGAAATCACGTGAGAGCTTAAAAAAACGTTTGTGGCAGTGGGACATAAAGACCACCTCTTTAAGTGATCAAAATGAAGATCAGGTTGGGGGTGAGGGGGATGACTCGATCACCATGTGTAAGCCAAGGAAGACTATTCTGGGGATTAAAGGTATCTTTATATTTGCAGAAAAAGGCAACAAGAAGAGAAACCAAAAAATTCAATACAAAAATAAGGTAGATGCTTTTAAGAATGACAGTTGTTAATTGTTGGGGGCAAAGAGCCACAGGAAACAGGAGACCCTCTGTTTCCCCTCGTTTTTAAGTAAAGACCTGGTGCCTTTCGGGAAGACGCTTTAATAAAAAAAGCAAATTGAACGGGGTGAAATTCCCTGGTTAGCATTATAGAGGTCATTTCTGGCCTTAAAATCGGTGAACCTCTGAGGTTTTGTTACAAGTGCAAGTTATTTAGTGTTATTCACAGATGCCTAGGGCAGACGATAGCACGGTGACCACCACACCTGGTGTGTAGAACACAAGGGAGACGGCGACTCCTAAATAATTCCCAGGACAGATCAATCAGAAAAACATCTGATTTACAAAAACGGCCGGTGAATCCGCCACACCCCTGACAGGTTGCCCCTATCTGGAACCCCACCGGCCAGGCAGGAAGAAGGAAGGGCAGGGAAGGGCCTTTCTAGCTTCTCGACTCTTACAGTGTTTCCGAGCCTTGTTTGCCGTCAAGAGATGCGGTTCCGGCTGGGCTGTGTGTCTCACCAGCCAGCTCATCGCCTGGGCTGTGGTCGTTCTTAGATGTCGCTGATGTCTCTAGGTTCTGTCCGGCCCCCGGGCAGTGGGCTGCCGGGGAAGGAGAAGGTCTCGTTCATCCAGCCTTGAGCCTTCGGCCAAGATGTAATAGCATAGGGCGGTGACTCGCCCATGACAAGGTTTTTAAAGTCTATTGTCTTTGCTTTCCCCTCCCTCCCAGCTCCACCTGGGAGTCCCAGGACAAATCAGAACCGGCGTTCGCTCCTGAGTCACTGGGCTTCACAATCGGCAGGGGGAGTGAAGTCACCTTGAGCTAAATCCGGAGGCTTGGAGAGCGATTTACACCCGGGAGAGGAGAGTCAGACACGCCGTTTGCAGCCTGAGATACGCCCCATGGGAGGCGGGGAAATTAGATGGGTTGGTCTCCGCATGCAAAGCGGTGGATTTTCTGTTCCTGGAAGGGATGAATTGAACTCTGAGAATTAGGCGTTGGGTTTGTTTCCTCATCTTCCATTCTCCCTGGAGCATGAGGGGCAATCAAAACATGATTTTTTTCATGGAAAAAAATTAAGAAGGTCTTCAAGAAATGCCTTTTGGTTTTCTGGCATCTTCAGTTGAAAATCGCAGCTTTCAGTTTCTCAATGGACATTGAGTATGTTCTGGGGGCTGTGGAGGGAACACTTGAATGAGCCGGAGGAGATCATGTGTAGGACTTTCTTGCTTGGAAAATTTCGGCCAAACTGCTTTTTGCATTTCTGTAAGGATATAGGAACGGCCCAGCTCGGTCACCCAGCTCTGGGCTACGCTTGGGCGTTATTTCGAAATAACTCCCCTGCGGTCGAATTGATAAGCGGAGCGAGCATGCTACCAACCTCGTTAATTCGAAATGATAGGCTGCTGATTTCAAAATCTGTCCTCTTGCTTTCCTCAGGGACTACTGCTCATTCCGAAAGAGTTATTTCAAAATAGAGGCAGTGTAGACGCGCCGGTGCTGCTATTTCAAAATAGCTGCTCCCCAGAGTCATTCGAACATATTACTCCCCAGTGCTTCCTGGGGCCCTAAGTCAACGTAGTGTGTCCACACTTAATGCACCTGCCTCGGACGAATTTTGAGGCTTTCCTGTAGTGGGGATGCACTAGTTTGATTTTGTAAAATCTGGAGGTATGAAGTCGAATTTTGTTACTTTGACATAATTCCCTAGTGTAGACATGTCCTCATTGTCTCCTCCAGCATCATGGCCAGTTCTGTCATCCCACGATCTTCTAAGTCCTGTACCATCATGTCCCATTGGTAATCATCCTGACACCAAGTTTCTGTGCCATCTGTCCAGCCCATAGCCTCCTTTAATTCCTACCATTCAAACTCTCCTATCTCAGTAGTTTCTCTGACAAAAGGAGGCAGCATTTAGTGGTCTGCGTTCAAGGGATGTAGCTGAACGGGACTCGTTTCCCTCTGGCTGTTTCTCTTCACCCCAAGCTGTGCATTGGCCTCAAGTCTCTCAGGCCTGGTCTACACCAGCTCTGGTGTGTCGCACTGAGCCACTGTTCCGTCTCCATTTTGAGACGCTGGCGGGAGCCCTCGCTCCGGTCGACTTCCCATGCTCTGCACAGAATGAGGAGTACACAGCGCTGATGGGGGCTGCCTTCACCATTCGATTTAGGGGCCTACACTAGCCCCGCTCAATTGAACACCAGGGCTGTGTCTACACTGGGCCACGTATTCTGGAAAATCAGCCGCTTTCCTGGAATAAGCTGCGAGCTGTCTACACTGGCCCTTGAATTTCCGGAAAAGCAACGATGCTCTACTGTACAAAATCAGCCGCTATTCCGGAAAAACATTCCGGAACACTGTTCCGGAAAAGGGCCAGTGTAGACAGCTCAGTAGTCTTTTCCGGAAAAAAGCCCCAATCGCGAAAATGGCAATCGGGGCTCTTTTCCGGAAAAGCGCGTCTACATTGGCCACAGACGCTTTTCCGGAAAAAGGGCTTTTCTGGAAAAGCAGCCTGCCAATGTAGACACTCCTTTTCCGGAAAAACTGAAAATGGAATAGTATTCCGTTTTAAGCATTTCTGGAAATTCATGCCAGTGTAGACACAGCCCAGATGATCGACCTCCTGAGGGTCAATCCTCTCCATAGTATAGACACGCCCTGAGAGAACGGAGACTCTTGTGAAAATCTCCCACAAGGAGATGACTTGGGGGACTTGGAGATTCCTCTCCGGAGTCCAACACCTCTTTTCCTAGTACAACAGGATGCCAAGTCCCCAGCGCAATTGACCGGATAGGAATATGCTCTGTTGAATTCGTTCTGTCGAGGGAAAGCTGCCTTAGGACCTGAATTCCCATTCCTCGGAACATGCTGAAATTAAAAGGCCAGCAATTGGGATGGATGGAAATGGGTACCAATGATAGGGGAATTCCTACAGGGCTCTCCCATTGAACAACAGTCTCAGCTGGTGAATATTATGAGGAAAGGCACGGACTTTCAGAGGAACCTAAGGGAATTAGGCACTCAACTGAGCCTCCCACACTCTTTGACTCCTTTGAGAATCCCACACACAGTGCAAGGGTGAGGAATCGGAGGCTCGCCTCTAAATCCCTTGGGAGAAGATCTCTCTCCAACATACAGTCATAGAATCATAGAATACTAGGACTGGAAGGGACCTCGAGAGGTCATCGAGTCCAGTTCCCTGCCCCCATGGCAGGACCAAATACTGTCTAGACCATCCCTGATGGACATTTATCTAACCTGCTCTTAAATATCCCCAGAGATGGGGATTCCACAACCTCCCTGGGCAATTTATTCCAGTGTTTGACCACCCTGACAGGTAGGAACTTTTTCTTAATGTCCAACCTAATGCCCAACATGGGAGGAATGGTTCTGTGGGGAAGATATAGGACTGGAATTAGGGACATCTGGGGTTGATTTCTCGCTCTGTCTGGCGCCTAGGCTGAGATGTTGATGGTGTTTGATGCCCAATGCTCATGGTCTTAAATACAATTTTAGTGTTCAAACCACTTAGGCAGCTTTGAAAATCTCACCCTTTTTTCCCTCAGTTTCCCAACTGTAAAATACATTCACACTTTTTCTGGCCCTTTCTGTTTACATGGTTCCTTTTTTGGGAGAACAGGCTTTTCACGGCCATGTGTCTTTGCAGCATCTGGGACTAGGGACATAGGTGGAATCTGTTGCCATTGCTAATATGGAAACTTTGAACTCTGGAGACGCAGGGACAGGGAAGGCTGACAGATAATCCCGCAGGAAGGAAGTCAGCCTCGTG